ATATATCTATATGTATCTATCTATCTATATCTCTATCTATATATATATATACTTTAACATGTGCTATACACAACTCAGATGTTTTTGAATAAAATATGACCTTCTAAATGATATAGTTACAAATTATGTTTCTTCTTTTCAGTAACCGTGTAGATTTACACCACTTTAAAATGCTGAAATAACAAAAACTTTAACACCAGTCTATTTTGAGAACATGACTCTTCTGATTACTGTCTGCATTTGTACCACCGTGGACACCAAGTACCAGAAGCTTCTCTAGTTAGTGAGACAAGAACTTCAAAGCACGCACAGACATAAGTACTGTAATAAATGGACTCATCTCTTTTGATGCAATAAAATATTTTTTTATGAACGAAAAGAAAAAATTATTTTCAGTGTCTTTAAAGCAAAATGGAAACATCTTTTTCAAGTTCATGTATTTCCATCAGTTATGAGATAATCAGTTCAGGACTCTAATGAATAAATTCCCATTCAGTATTACTTGAGGGCACCGGGCATGTCACTGTGCCAGCCTTCAGTGCAGTGTCAGCATGATGCTTCTGGTCATCAAAGAAGACATGAGGCCTGATCTTCTCCAGTGTGGGACCTTTCTTAGTCCGTCCCTCAAACACAATTTCATCAAGCTCCATACCACAGGTGTACAGAGTCTTTAAAGCTCTGTAGATGCCATAGTCCGCCTCTCGAGATGTCACAAGGTAGGTACAAATGGGAAAGTTTGTACCTATCAAATTCGTACCATTTGGATAATTTAGCTGATATCAGTTTATTTTAATGTAATCTATCTGAGATTTCAATGATTAAAAATCACAGAAACCCAACATAACTATATCCATATAGATAGTTTTAAAACATGAGAAGTTGAAATGTGCTCCTATCATTTCTCCTTCATTGGATTTTCAACATTTTGCTTCTCATGCTCCAAGTATCCTTGTAGTCCATCACTCCAGATTAGGTGAAAATGATTAGGATTAAATGCAGTATAATAACACTTTCATGAAACTGTGTCCTGTCATGATCTCCAGTGCTGCCATTTCGTAGGATCTCCTGTTCAGGGCTCCTCAATCACTGGTTGTTCTTATAACTCATTTCACCTTCTGCTCTAGTGTTTGTTGTGATAAGCCTTTTATACTCTCCCATTTTATTTCTGTTTTTGTTTCTCACTATTTTTCATAACAACCTTAAAACCAGAATCGAGGTATGACTCAAGAAGTGACAGTTTGTTATTATTAAGCAATCTATCATTTCTTTATTTTGTGCTTCACAGGTGTTTCATACCTGATGTTGCTTAGCATGCAATAACTCAAGCTCCTCAGAGTACAGTATTCTTGCATCCCTGCTTACAAAACTGTGAGTCTTTGTACACAGTTTTGTAGGGAAACTAAACATCCTCAGTAAACATCAACACAAGGTGTTTTTTTCTTAGCTGAACTGTGGCACAGCAGGCAACTTCAGGTGAAAGACCCCCGGAGTACACTTGAAATCACAAGTGTACTCCGGATTAAAAATCGCACTAAATCCCACTAAAGTGACCTTTAGTGGGATTTTTAATCTTGTTTTTAATTTTAATCATACTGTGTTTAATATAAGTCTGCAGATGAGGACGTTAGAGCACCACAGCTTGCAGCACACACTGTGCTGATTCATAATAATGCAAGGAGAAGTTTCCTCCTAAGCAAACAGAACATACAACAAAAGGAAAAACAGGTCATTCAAACTAACCTGCCCTGACAAATTAAATGTACAGAACTTGTTTTGAAGTAAGAAAGAAAAGGCCCTAATCCTTTATTCATCTGATTCCTGAATGTAAAGGAGGACTGTTCATGGGTGAGGCTTCATCACATTCCATTACTGTTGTCACTGCAGTCGTGTGACATCACAATTATGACGAACAACTACCAGAAGTTAAAAAGTGCAAATGTAAATAGAATAAGGATAAATAATAAATAAGCAAGAGAAATAACAAACATAGCTACATGTCAAACATTCATAAAAGCTTTAATATTTAAAAAAAGTATTAGGAAGCAATTTGTAAGGCAATAGTAAAGTTTCTGCTCAGATCTCCATGAACTGTTCCATGACAGAAAAAAACACTTTGGTCTTGCCTGTCCAAACAACATTGTTCCAGAAGTTTTGCGGTTTGTTTAGACAAAAATGACACCAGCTAAAAAAAAAATGCATTTAAAATGTTCATTACTTCATTCTCTTATTTTAAATTATTTAAAACAATGCAAAGGTTAAACCCTAGGTCATCTATTCAATTCAATTCAATTTTATTTATATACTGCCAAATCACAACAACAGTCGCCTCATGGCGCTTTATATTGTAGAATAGATCCTACAATAATACATAGAGAGAAATACCCAACAATCATATGACCCCCTATGAGCAAGCACTTTGGCGACAGTGGGAAGGAAAAACTCCCTTTTAACAGGAAGAAACCTCCGGCAGAGCCAGGCTCAGGGAGGGGCGGCCATCTGCTGCGACCGGTTGGGGTGAGAATTAGAATTAGAATTCAACTTTATTGTCATTGCACATGCACAGGTACAGGGCAACGAAATGCAGTTTGCATCCATCCAGAAGTGCTTTAGTGATATAGATATATTACAATATATATTAGCAATAATATAGATATGTGAGTATATTACAGAAATGGGTCTATTATGGTATGTTATAATGTACACGGTATGAAGTATGTTGTGAATATTCTATAACTATAAGTATGAGAGAGAGAAGGAAAACAGGATAAGACATGGTGTGGAAGAGAGACAGAGATTAATAACAAGTGTGATTCAGCAGAGAGGTCTGTTAACACATGCTGAGTGAGAAAAGTAACTGAAAAGGAAAAACTCAATGCATCATGGGAATCCCCCAGCAGCCTACACCTATTGCAGCATAACTAAGGGAGTATTCAGGATCACCTGGTCCAGCCCTAACTATATGCTTTCGCAAAAAGGAAAGTTTGAAGCCTAATCTTAAAAGTAGAGATAGTGTCTGTCTCCTAAATCCAAACTGGAAGCTGGTTCCACAGAAGAGGGGCCTGAGAACTGAAGGCTCTCCCTCCCATTCTACTTTTAAATACTCTAGGAACAACAAGTAGGCCTGCAGTGCGAGAGCGAAGTGCTCTAATAGGGTGATATGGTACTACAAGGTCATTAAGAGGTGTTTGGATTCAATTCTGGTATTAAGAGGAAGCCAAGGAAGGGAAGCCTTCATTGGCCTGTCAATACTCTTCCTACAATATTTTGTAGGAACTGAAGGCTTTTCATAGAGTTTTTAGGACATCCTGATAATAAAGAATTACAGCAGGAGTAATTGTTACTAAAAATGTTCTTTGTATGGTTGTGTAGATATTTCCTTAAACATTATAAGTGATTTATGAGGACTGATTTAGTTTCAAAAACATCTGTGGAAACATTTTGCATAAGCTTCATGGAATATTACATTCAAATGAATGTACTTTAATCATGAAAAACAAGGACTCTTCAAACTGAAAACAAACTTTTGAGCAGTAGTGTATATTGCATGTTTGTATCTAACTGTATCTGATCAAGGTTTTGAAACAAAGACAACTTTTTAGCTCTGTATTTTAACAAAAATTGAGCCAAACTATTCCAACTCCGATGAAAATCTCTCCCTAACAAGTCCACTTTATTGCATGCTCATTGTTTTTTCTTATCAGTGGCTCATAGCTGTTTAACAAATCCACTTTTGCATTCTTATTAATGCTGATCTGTCACACTTATCAGTGGCTCATGGTTGCTTAAAGCCTATGTCTGTACTTGACCACAGAGGCAGAGCATCATTCAATCCTGCCAGCTGCATGTCTTGGTAGCATTTCAAGGATGACAGACTCCACTTTCTCTGCAGCAAGACAGCTCATAACGTTTTAACAGTCTGTCCCTGTCCTGATACTCTACATCATCTGCTGTAATCACTAACCATGGACTCTCACTGCAATGTACGC